AGTAAAAGCCATTTATTCTGACAATTGGCAAAAAAAAAGAACTTGTATATATATATTTTTTTTTTTTTTTCTTTAATCTGACAGGGTCAAACATTATAAACTACCAACCTTTCACACATGTCAAATATGAAGAGACACAAACAGCCAAAACCAACAGCACTCAGATGTTTCCAGTAACTCCTCACACGACCTCGTGTCACGTCATCCTGTGTAAAATTAATGTAGAAATGTGACACATAAGAAAGAAATGTAAAATTCATTTCCTGTGTAACAGTAGTGTATGAATATGACACATAAAAAGCAGACACTTACTAATTAAAAGAACTTGACTAAAGAACTGAACAACCTTAATTTAACTATTTACAATAAAATAAAGCATTATAAATACTTTAAAAAATATGAATATAACTTTAAGACATCAATGACACTTTAAGTTAATTTATGTAAGTCAATGAAAATCTATAATAAAAAAATACAATATTTTTATCAATCAAAAAATCACAAATCATTTATATTTTAGTATCTCTGAATACCATAAAATGGTTCTGAATAATAACAGTGTAGATATTTATGTATCCAAATGCAATCCTTTGTATGATATTAAATAAGACAATTACTGCAATTCATTAAATGATGTACTTTCCACAGTACCTGGTTTTACAAAGCTAAGATTAGATGTACTTGTTATTTTGTTTGTGTGAGTTACATGTAAGATTAATGGAGAAGTTCGGTGAACAACTCAGCACCTCCATTTTCCTCCCTACTAAAGTACTGGGAAATATCTCCATCATAGTTTAGTCATATGAAACAGTATTATGATCAAATTCAAAATGTTTGTATCACAGCTGGCTTTGTAATTCATGTTTTGTAATTATAGTTTCTTTTGTTCATCTGTTGAAGTTACGCAAAGCTACAAAAAGGTTATCTGTGTTAACCATCCCTAATTTTGAAAAGATAGACTAAAGAGAAGACAGCAAGTCAACATGACAAATCACCAATTGGGCTGCTACTGTCCAACTAAGTAGTATGATTTAACCATCACTTTTATATTACACTTACAGCCACAAACTGCTGAGTGAGATTTTATTTTTGCAGTAATGAGATATGAACCACTGCGCCTCAGATCCATAAACTGGTATAACCAGTGAGACATGCTCAGCCCAAAACTTTTATAACTTCTAAGAAACTTAAGGTTAACCAAACAAACATTAAATACAAAATATTAGCTTTAACCCTAACAGGGCAAGCAGGGTGATATATTTGTTTTGTTCTAACACTTAAAATCCTTAACTTTATTGAATAGAATTTGGATACACATTCTACACGATATATAGTTTGTGTTAAAAAAAATTATATAATTAGGTTGTTTTTGTATATTTTAGCTTATGAATTTTTTCTTACGTACAAAGAAAGTAACTATTGAAAAATATAAATAAAATAAAACTGGGTTTCTCTCAATATTTTTGGCCAGAAAGTTCTATTTCAGACATATAATTAGGTCTAACTTGTTTTACTTTCATCAATTATTCATATTTATTAGTTGTCTTTAACTGCTGAAGTAGTTATGTAGCCATAAAAACGAATAAACATCAAAAACGTTAACCAGTAGAAACACAATTTATACTCGTATCCTAGGACTACATTGATATAGGCAATATTTTTGGTTTAAGCACAATTCATCTCTAATAATTATAGTTCGTTTTCAACAACTAAGCAGTTCTTGTACTTGTATGTATTATTTGAGTGATAATAAACTTACTAATACAATAAAAAAATTTTTCTGTCATCTGAATAGTTTGCCATCACAGAACTCCTAGCTTACCATACTCACTAACCCTGAATATTCCTACTTTATGTCTTCTCATATAAGAATATTCTTGTAGTTTAAACCAGACATAATATAACACAAAAACAATTATCACGACTGTAGGCATCATCAAAAGAACCTATAAAACAATTCATGGTTTGTGGCTTGTTTATAAGTCAGAGGATTCTAATGTGTAGTTTACAAAGGTTTCTGAGAAGTGACTTGTAGAAGTTCTTATAGCAGGGAACAGAGGATTCTAATGTGTAGTTTACAAAGGTTTCTGAGAAGTGACTTGTAGAAGTTCTTATAGCAGAGAACAGAGGATTCTAATGTGAAGTTTACAAAGGTTTCTGAGAAGTGACTTGTAGAAGTTCTTATAGCAGAGAACAGAGGATTCTAATGTGTAGTTTACAAAGGTTTCTGAGAAGTGACTTGTAGAAGTTCTTATAGCAGAGAACAGAGGATTCTAATGTGTAGTTTACAAAGGTTTCTGAGAAGTGACTTGTAGAAGTTCTTATAGCAGAGAACAGAGGATTCTAATGTGAAGTTTACAAAATTCAAAACAAACAATAACTTATAGCAGGGAAGTTCACGCAAAGCTACACGAGGGCTATCTGCACTAGCCGTCCCTAATTTAGCAGTGTAAGACTAGAGGGAAGGCAGCTAGTCATCACCACCCACCACCAACTCTTGGGCTACTCTTTTACCAATGAATTGTGGGATTGACTGTCACATTATAACGCTCCCACGGCTGAAAGAGCATGCATGTTTGGTATGACGGGGATTCGAACCCATGACCCTCAGATTGTGAGTCGAGCGCCCTAACCACCTGGCCGACTTCTTTGCTATAAGAGCGTCTACTAGTCACTTCTCAGAAACATTTGTAAACTCCACATTACAATCCACTGTTCTCTGCTATAAAAACTGATGCTGATAGACAAGAATCTTTCCTATCGATTGATATTTAGCTATTAGTTCTATCTTGTTTAAGAGGCTAAGATTTATTACTTACTGCCTAGCAACCCACTTGCTGTGACTTCACAAAAGCATCTCAACAGAGGATTCTTGAAGTTGTTATAAACAGAGAAACGGAAAGTCATATGAGAGATAAAACACTGGATAATTCTATTTCTAAGCAATACCAGGGCCTGGTTAAATATAAACCTATACTTTGAAATGGTCACAAAAATTCTCAAAAAATGTGAAAACACTTTCTTTGTTTACATGCAATACCCAATGGACCAAGCAGAGATCAAAGTTCAAAAATTTTTATTTGCAAATTACACTAAATAAATAACTTATAAAATATCAATTCTTAGACAATTTCAAGTAAATAAATTTGTTGAAATAAAAGTTAAAATTATTATTTTTACTTTCAATGTGAAATTCATTAAGAAATCTTGTTCTCTCTCCTCCAGAGAGCTGCCCAGTGGCCCTAACAAGTTAATAGCCACTGTACAGCATACAAACATACAATTGTAATATACTAACCATGAGATGTTCTCCACAAAAAATCAGCCAAAAGCTAAGGAGGGCAGCATAAAACAATCCTTGACGAATGTCACTCAGCAACAACATAAAAGGCATCTCTACCCACAGTGTAAGAAACTCTAGTGGTACTAAAGAAGCAAAAGAAAACTTTGTGAAGCATGGTACTCTAGCTCAAGCCTTTCACCAATAATGCAAAGTAACATTTCATGAATCCTGAATGGTTATTTCAATTAAGTACAATCATCAGTTATATCAATAACATGTCATTGGACTAATAGAAAAACAGCTCGCAAGTCAATTTTTTTCAAGAAGCCTTTAGAAAAGTCACATTGAGAATAAATGAGATAAGATTTAATTTATTCTATATTTCAATCTTAAATAATAAATGAAAGACAAGAATTGTTTACAGTTTCTTCCTCTTTTAACATTAAAAAATACTTTAAACTTTAAAAGTTTTTTTTAAGATTGTTTGTTGTTAGTTGAAATATTATTTTATGAAATGATCTAAACCTTTTCAAGATCAATTAACAATGCTTGGAACAAAACCCATTGAATTAACATTAATACTTTCCTTACCTAAAAATATATTTCTGATAGATTCTCACCTCCTCACACAGTTAAGCTACCTTTCCACATGTCTGCTTTGGAGATTTGCATTCCACTAGCCTTTAGTGAACTCCCACCTAATATAATTTCTCAAGAATTGTAGTACTGCATAATGACATCAGTATGCAGCAATAAGAGTTTGACACAGCTCCTCATGTACTAACTCCCTCTATGCATTTGCACTCCTGAATCTTCATTTTTTGAGGAGGCTAAGAATACAAAGGTGCAGCAGAAGTGGGGAAGATGGATGGGAATGTGTGTAAGGAGGTATCTATCAGAAATACATTTTCAGGTAAGGAAAATGATGAATTCCGAGACAATACCACACCTCTGCACACAATTAAGTTAGAATCCCACACTGAAGTGGTGAAGGGGCTGGTATAAAGATTTACCTATATAAGCTCCCTTCAGAAAGCACCTAAAAAAACTCATGGATCAATCTTAGAGATGAGAAATAGAAGGAATGGTAATAAAAGAGAAAGAGCAGTCACCTTGCTGAGCATCCAAAGGTTTAGGGAAGAAAGACTAACCAGGATATAGAAGAATATGAGTAATGGAAGAGGATGTAGAAAGAATCAATAGCATAAACACTTTAACAATGGCAATCACAGGTGACAAGTAAGAGAAAATAGGTCTACAAATGTGGTATATGGTGCAAGTTGCCAATGGCTCAAAACGGAACAAGGTAGAGAGAAAGAACAGAGAAGGAAAACACCCTGTGGTACTGAGAAAGGCAAAATGTTGTTGACAAGGCTGCACGATAACTAAGAATGATGGAAACACCTAATCCATGGATGAACAGCCAGGCAAAGAAGGAGAAACGATGGCTAACAGGAAGGTGACGATGGATGAGCTAATGGCAAAAAATATGGCACTTACACTGGTAGATGGACTTTCAGGTTTTATAGGGCCAGATTCTTTACAGTGGGTGTCTGCAACTTGTTGGTGATAAATTTCAACAATAAATGGACAACACACAATCCACTTGTTTTAAAATAATATATTCAAAATAAGTTAAATGTAGGTACAAAAACTTGTTACACAATTGGTTGAATATAGAGCTTTAAATAATTCTCTTTTTCACCAAAAGTCCACACAGGCTGGTTTCATTACTTTAGAATCCAATTGACAAGACAAGTTATTCTCCTCTATCCCTGTTATTACAATACAAACTGTGAACCTCACTTTCGATATCACCTGTTACAGCTAAACTCACATGCAGCCTAACTTCACTTTCACTAACTTAATTTACTTTACTTCTCCATGTATTTATAACACATGACAGAAAAATCTAGAAATATCTAGCCCTCTAGTAATAACAATATTAAACATAACAAGAAAGACTTAGAAGCTTCAAAGTAAGATAATGTCAACAATATTACAAAAGCCCAGTACAGCAATTAAACTGCACACACAACATACGACTTGTACAGAGTTACGTAACAAAACTTGTCATAACTATCACTTTTAAAATAATTAATTTTTAACACTCTTGTTATGAAAACTATATAATTATATATTAAATAAACTAAATAATAACTTAAACTGAACAGTCTTGTATATCCAACATGGACAAAGTGGAAGAGCAACAGGATTAAGAAAGGAAAAAGGCTACACAATATAGAGACCAGTTATACAGGCAAGGGACCAGAGAAATCCCAAAAGTGAAGTAAGAAGGACAAGATCCATTGATGGAACAGTGACGTGTGAAGTTGAAGCAAGAAAGAGGGTATAGTGGCAGGGGAAGAGGTGGTCGGGTTGTCAGACGGCGCAGAAGAGAGAATCAAGATGAGTCAACCAGAAGGGTGTCATCAATAGAGTGTCATAAATCAAGGCTAGAACCCAAGATAAAAGATAGAGTGCTTGGTACATGGCAGGCAAGGAGATGAACCCACTGAAAAATGGCCCAAAAAAGAAGGTCCAGGATCACATACCACCTTGGCAGTTGATATGGGAAACAACAATGGAGTTGTCAAAATGGATCATAAATAAATGATCCAAGAGAACGGGTACAAAATGGGAGCATGTCCCATGGAAGTTTGAGTGAATTGATGGGGAAAGAGGACTCATCCTAGGTCTATGTGCCAGAAGTGAAATTGTCATCCAGAGATGCTCCCCAACCAGAAAGGGAAGCATCAGCAAAGATGTTCAAGTCCAGTTTGGGTGGAGGTAATTTGTCCTCCTCAGGCTCCCTTCTAAATGAGGGGAAGGAACACCTGAACAAGTGACTGGAGCTGAAGGTCCTGGCTGCATAAGCCATCAAATCACCCTCAGTCAACATGCCTCCAAAAACCATAGTTGATACATAACCTGTGTGAGGAAATTTTTCACTCAAACAAGTAGTAGAAAATGTCACATGTAAGTTCATAGTTTGTAGAAAAAGAGGAAGGAATTAAGTTCCTTATACATTGCAAATCTCAAAAAATTGGAAAAGAAAAACACATCTGATGTGTTAAGCATATAGGAAAAGAATGAAGATTCATGAGTACAAATACATAGAGGGAAAGGTGTGTCACCCTCCTATTGGTGGAGGGTTTTTGCTGCATTATGACATCATTATGCTGTTGTGAATCACAAGAAATTCTCGTGAAATTAGATAGATGTTCACTAAAGGCTAGTGACATGCAAATCACTAATGGAGACACACAGAAAAGATAGCTTAACTGTGTGCAGAGATGTGGCATCATCTCAGAAGGTATTAATACTTAATTCATATTTCCTACTATTTCATTCTAAAAATTATAAAAAAATCCACTTATAAAGTAATAAAGAAAAACTTTAAAATTAATCAAGTCCAATTACTTCTCATTGTACAGCCCAATATTAATGTTTCAACATATCCTATCTTCCAGCTCTAAAAATGAAATTAGACATATACTAAAAGTTAACGTTTTTTGTCTACAGAAAAATACTTTAAATATAATTAGTTGAATATATACAATTGTGAAACAAGTTTTCTAAATACCCCATAAATACAAAAATTAGAATTAAGTTATGCACATTTCATTACAATGTTTGTTACACATTTTACTATGGTACTTAACTCCCTTGCTACAGGCTCAGTCAAAGAACCAAGTTTGCGACTCCAAATTGACCTTTAGTTTTCGTATTATAACCTCTGTGCATCTTCACGAAACTTTGTAAGCTATCAGTAAATATCATAAGTCTGTGGTAGATGAAAAGTCAGAAATTATAAGGAAGTATTTTTGTCAAAAATTTCTCCGTGAATATATGGAATCAAAGTGTCGACTGCTCCAAGTGTAAAGTAATTTTCATGTACAAATTAAAAATACTTTTCTCCATCTGATAATTTTCATATTTCATTTGCATAATGTCTAGAATCTCCTAAATAAACTTCCAATGTCTTTGTAGTAAAACTTATCTGTTATTTTCTCTATCCTAACTTTATACATGGCTGGTCAATTTGACATGCAATTGTAACAGGAAGCTACAATGGATTATCCTAAACAGATTAAAGCTCATGGCAGTATACATCTGTTCCTACTTAAATTTTATTGCCTATATAATAATCCTGCCACAAAAGTTATAAATCACTCAGCAGATGTGTCGCTGACATTACCTCACCAAATTACATAATGCACAAGATGCTCACTACCATATCTCACGAAACATTTTAATTGCTATTTTTTATTTTATTTTCATTAATGTAACCTAATCAATTTTTATACATTTGTTACTTGGTCTTTTTTTTTTTTGCTGTTAACTGTTAATGGAAATTAACCCTACTTTTTTTTATACTAATGGTACTACTACTACTACACTAAATCATATATTTAATTAAATAATGCACCTAAGAACATAGAATAAGAACACATAAAAAGCAGATAATGTTCTATGACTATCACAATTATTCTGACTTTCTAACTACGAGATAAGACCAGTTAAAAATTCAGCTAAGCTTGTCGATGTATTTCCTATTAGAATAGTTTGAACTAGAACTGAAACAGACAATTCTCTGTACAGAAAACAACACAATATATGTCATTTAATAGAATAAAACTTTGGCTTTCTATTGGTTATAAAGAGTATGATATTAAATGTCTGAGAGAACTATTGGCAATTTGTGAAAGAGAGGATGGGACAGGTGGGCATAGCAAGCGAGTCTAAGTTTCTATTTTATGACTCCATAACCAAATAAGATTGAAGGCTATAAAAATTGTGCTTTGCTTGAGTAATAACTATATTATCTTATTATAATGGAGCTTGCGATGTATATGTCCAAAGCTTGGATCTCGGAAACTATTGCACCAATCATCAACACTCATAATTGGGTAATATCTTTATAACTATGCGATATATTTTTATAGCTGAGCAATAAATAAAACAAGTAAAATTTCCCAAAAATGATATGTTCCAGATATAACCAATAAAAATTACAAACAAAAAGGAGTAAGTTCCAGATTTAACCAATAAAAATTACAAACAAAAAGGAGTAAGTTTCAGATTTAACCAATACAAAAATTACAAACAAAAAGAAGTAAGTTCCAGATTTAACCAATAAAAATTACAAACAAAAAGAAGTAAGTTTCAGATTTAACCAATACAAAAATTACAAACAAAAAGAAGTAAGTTCCAGATTTAACCAATAAAAATTACAAACAAAAAGAAGTAAGTTTCAGATTTAACCAATACAAAAATTACAAACAAAAAGAAGTAA